AAGAAAATCATGTTTTGAAGATAATTCTAAATCCTTTAGAGCAAATATGTAAAGGAATAATAAAAATGAACAGTGAATTATCCAGTAGAAAATTTTTAAATAATCTACGCAAAAATATTAAACAAAATTCTAAAGTTCTTAGTGATTGTTTGATTAAGAGTCCAGATTTGGTAAACTTAGCACAACTTTTTACCAATATACATGACAAATTAGGTAAAAACATGTCTCTAAGTAATCACGAAGAGTTACTCACAGTTATTGAACATGATACAAAACAGTTACATATCCAACTACCTCAAATTTTCGAGGTATTTTCCGAATCTGAAACCAAAGACGCGGTGATGCAACTTCAACAAACCGTAGCAAACTTGTCTACTACAGAAGTAACTATAAATCATCTCACAGAATTTGATTCTGCTTTAAAAACGTTTAAAAAATAAAATGAAACAACATTTGAAAGTAGAATCCCCAATCAGAGATCATATTTCTGAAATAAAGTCTGAATTTGCTGATCTACAAGACCAAGTTATGGAACAATGCCCACCACCAAATGTAGTCCTTGCTTCCACTCTGGAGTTATACGAAGCTATTAACGATCTAGAAGATGTTACAGTTGAGATAGAACAACTTTCTTTAAGTCCAGATGAAGCTCAATGTCTATCATCTACGAAGATCTGCTTGGAAAAATTATGCGTTGTGATAGTGAATTTAAAATCAACATTACACAAACCTATCTTACAGGAGCTTGGAATGCAAGCTATACAGGATGCCAAAGTACATGTTAAGCAAGCCTTGAGTATTCTATCAAATTCTCCAGCTTCGAGTTTAACCATTTTATTACAAGAACCGCTATCGGCGATATTAACCAATACTGAAAATATAGAGCAAAATACGCTTGCAGAAAAAATACCTATTGAAGAAGAGACCGGGCTAGCGAATACTGAAAATATTGAAGAAAATACTGTTACACAAAAAACACCTATTAAAAAAGACAGTATTATTGAAGAAATTGTTCAAACACTGCAACTGGTTCTACAACAGTTAGAAGAAGTAAAATCTACTGAAGCAGGAAAAAGTTTTGTTCTAGATGTTGCAGATGCATTTAACGAACCTTTGAAGTTTCTACATTCCAGTTTTCAGTTATTACAAAACAGCGGTTGTGAGAGCGTAGAACAAATAAGTGAATATTTATCAGATCAAAACAAATCATTTAAAAACTTATCTAGTTGCTTTAGCACAAAAAAAGACTATGTTTTATTAGAAAATTTGAAAGGTATTCAAGACAGCTGTAATGCAATAGTGAACTGTAGCCAAGATAATTTACTGTTGCAAACTTTGTGTGAACCTAATAAATTTATGGTTGCTACTATTGATCATCTATTGAAACAATTAAGTAGTGTTTCACCTTCTAGCCAGTTAACAGAGTCCGATTTAAATACGCTCACTGAATTCAACGACAATATTATTCTTCTCAGGCACCAACTAGAAAGTTTAAATATCCACTTGCAAGGAAGAGAGAAAATCAAAGAACATCAACCCTTAACCCTCATTACAGAAATTATAGGTCCGTTATTCAATCTCTCGTCCCAAATAGAAAATACCACTCTTTTACCAGATTTTCATAATTACACCAACACAATACAGGATATTTCACACTTATTACAAATTCTTACTAATGTTGTTAAATCTTGCAACGAAAAGATTAGCATCTCAGAACCAACGAGAAAGGAGAAGCTAAAAATACAACAGATTGCTTCAAGACTCTCAAATGAACTTAACAAAACATTGGAATTAAAAAGCAATTTTACTCCTGCATTAGACATACTGCAACAAAAATTCAAATATATCGAGAGTGAATTAAGACAAGAAAAAGACCAGTCCAAGAAAGATGAACAAAAGCCTCTAAAGAGTTTAATATCTATTTTACAAACACCAGTGGATGAGTTGGCACAATTACTTACGTCGTTAAAATTAGTAATGTCTGATGGTGAAATACCCCAACAAGGTATTTTGTGCATCGTACAAGCAACCGACTTATTAAATGAGCTATCGAAATCGCTTCTAATTTCTGAGAAAGAATTTACAGACTCTATGGGTGAGATTCCACAGGATATTAAACAAGTAGTAGCACTTGCTGAAGATAAAATAAATAAACTAAAAATTTTGGTAACAAACGTTTTAGAAACATTACAGAAAAAAGATCCAATAACACTTGAAAAACAAGAAAGTAAGATGGCCCTAGTAGAAGTAAAAGAAGCTATAACTCACATAATTGTAAATGTTATACCACAGATTCAACAGCTTCAATCAACAAAAAAAATTTTACAAGATGTTAAGGAAGCATTGGAAGATATAATAAATAATATTGAAGAAACGAAAAGCACAATAGATCTAAGTCCTAAATTAGATCAAGATGAACCAAAAATACCTAAAGCACTTCAGACATCAGAAGAACGACAAGATAATAAATTAGTTAAAGAACTATTAGAACCAATATCAGTTTTAAGAGATGAAATGGCAGTATTGAAAACAAATGTAGAATCCAACAGCCAGATTCCACAACAAGGTGTTCTTTCAATAATTGAAGCAGCAGCCGTAATAAATGAACTAGCAGAAAGCCTTTCTTCGATTAAACAAACCACTGATACTGATATTAAGGATGTATCAGCTGATTTTGTCGAAACAGCAGTTAGTGTTAAAGATGAGCTAAATCAGTTAACTACTGTTATTGTCAAGGTTAACGAAAATCTCCAAAAACCCGAAATATTGGAACAGCAAAAACCAGAATTAAAGCGAGCTATAAGTGCTGTTAAAGAAAAGCTGGAAGAAGTAGTAACAAAAACTTTACCTAACGCCGAAAAGCTAAAGATTGCAGAGCACAATCTAAAAACACTTAATGCTAAACTAGATGAAGTTGTAGAAAAACTGTCCGAAGAACATGAGAAACCAACCGAGAGACAAGATGCCAAATTAGTTAAAGAACTCTTAGAAACAATATCAGTTTTAAGAGATGAAATGGCAGTATTGAAAACAAATGTAGAATCCAACAGCCAGATTCCACAACAAGGTGTTCTCTCAATAATTGAAGCAGCAGCAGTAATAAATGAACTAGCAGAAAGCCTTTCTTTGACTGAACAAACCACTGATACTGATATTAAGGACGTATCAGCTGATTTTGTCGAAACAGCAGTTAGTGTTAAAGATGAGCTAAATCAGTTAACTACTGTTATTGTCAAGGTTAACGAAAATCTCCAAAAACCCGAAATATTGGAACAGCAAAAACCAGAATTAAAGCGAGCTATAAGTGCTGTTAAAGAAAAGCTGGAAGAAGTAGTAACAAAAACTTTACCTAACGCCGAAAAGCTAAAGATTGCAGAGCACAATCTAAAAACACTTAATGCTAAACTAGATGAAGTTGTAGAAAAACTGTCCGAAGAACATGAGAAACCAACCGAGAGACAAGATTCCAAATTAGTTAAAGAACTCTTAGAACCAATATCAGTTTTAAGAGATGAAATGGCAGTATTGAAAACAAATGTAGAATCCAACAGCCAGATTCCACAACAAGGTGTTCTCTCAATAATTGAAGCAGCAGCAGTAATAAATGAACTAGCAGAAAGTCTTTCTTCGACTGATCAAACCAATGATACTGATATTAAGGACGTATCAGCTGATTTTGTCGAAACAGCAGTTAGTGTTAGAGATGAGCTAAATCAGTTAACTACTGTTATTGTCAAGGTTAACGAAAATCTCCAAAAACCCGAAATATTGGAACAGCAAAAACCAGAATTAAAGCGAGCTATAAGTGCTGTTAAAGAAAAGCTGGAAGAAGTAGTAACAAAAACTTTACCTAACGCCGAAAAGCTAAAGATTGCAGAGCACAATCTAAAAACACTTAATGCTAAACTAGATGAAGTTGTAGAAAAACTGTCCGAAGAACATGAGAAACCAACCGAGAGACAAGATGCCAAATTAGTTAAAGAACTCTTAGAACCAATATCAGTTTTAAGAGATGAAATGGCAGTATTGAAAACAAATGTAGAATCCAACAGCCAGATTCCACAACAAGGTGTTCTCTCAATAATTGAAGCAGCAGCAGTAATAAATGAACTAGCAGAAAGCCTTTCTTTGACCGAACAAACCACTGATACTGATACTAAGGACGTATCAGCTGATTTTGTCGAAACAGCAGTTAGTGTTAAAGATGAGCTAAATCAGTTAACTACTGTTATTGTCAAGGTTAACGAAAATCTCCAAAAACCCGAAATATTGGAACAGCAAAAACCAGAATTAAAGCGAGCTATAAGTGCTGTTAAAGAAAAGCTGGAAGAAGTAGTAACAATAACTTTGCCTAACGCCGAAAAGCTAAAGATTGTAGAGCACAATCTAAAAGCACTTAATGCTAAACTAGATGAAGTTGTAGAAAAACTGTCCGAAGAACATGAGAAACCAACTGAGAGACAAGATGCCAAATTAGTTAAAGAACTATTAGAACCAATATCAGTTTTAAGAGATGAAATGGCAATATTGAAAACAAATGTAGAATCCAACAGCCAGATTCCACAACAAGGTGTTCTCTCAATAATTGAAGCAGCAGCAGTAATAAATGAACTAGCAGAAAGCCTTTCTTTGACCGAACAAACCACTGATACTGATATTAAGGACGTATCAGCTGATTTTGTCGAAACAGCAGTTAGTGTTAAAGATGAGCTAAATCAGTTAACTACTGTTATTGTCAAGGTTAACGAAAATCTCCAAAAACCCGAAATATTGGAACAGCAAAAACCAGAATTAAAGCGAGCTATAAGTGATGTTAAAGAAAAGCTGGAAGAAGTAGTAACAATAACTTTGCCTAACGCCGAAAAGCTAAAGATTGTAGAGACCAATCTAAAAGCACTTAATGCTAAACTAGATGAAGTTGTAGAAAAACTGTCCGAAGAACATGAGAAACCAACTGAGAGACAAGATGCCAAATTAGTTAAAGAACTATTAGAACCAATATCAGTTTTAAGAGATGAAATGGCAGTATTGAAAACAAATGTAGAATCCAACAGCCAGATTCCACAACAAGGTGTTCTCTCAATAATTGAAGCAGCAGCAGTAATAAATGAACTAGCAGAAAGTCTTTCTTCGACTGATCAAACCACTGATACTGATATTAAGGACGTATCAGCTGATTTTGTCGAAACAGCAGTTAGTGTTAAAGATGAGCTAAATCAGTTAACTACTGTTATTGTCAAGGTTAACGAAAATCTCCAAAAACCCAAAATATTGGAACAGCAAAAACCAGAATTAAAGCGAGCTATAAGTGCTGTTAAAGAAAAGCTGGAAGAAGTAGTAACAAAAACTTTACCTAACGCCGAAAAGCTAAAGATTGCAGAGCACAATCTAAAAACACTTAATGCTAAACTAGATGAAGTTGTAGAAAAACTGTCCGAAGAACATGAGAAACCAACCGAGAGACAAGATGCCAAATTAGTTAAAGAACTCTTAGAACCAATATCAGTTTTAAGAGATGAAATCGCAGTATTGAAAACAAATGTAGAATCCAACAGCCAGATTCCACAACAAGGTGTTCTCTCAATAATTGAAGCAGCAGCAGTAATAAATGAACTAGCAAAAATTCTTTCTTCGACTGATCAAACCACTGATACTGATATTAAGGACGTATCAGCTGATTTTGTCGAAACAGCAGTTAGTGTTAAAGATGAGCTAAATCAGTTAACTACTGTTATTGTCAAGGTTAACGAAAATCTCCAAAAACCCGAAATATTGGAACAGCAAAAACCAGAATTAAAGCGAGCTATAAGTGCTGTTAAAGAAAAGCTGGAAGAAGTAGTAAAAAAAACTTTGCCTAACGCCGAAAAGCTAAAGATTGCAGAGCACAATCTAAAAACACTTAATGCTAAACTAGATGAAGTTGTAGAAAAACTGTCCGAAGAACATGAGAAACCAACCGAGAGACAAGATGCCAAATTAGTTAAAGAACTCTTAGAACCAATATCAGTTTTAAGAGATGAAATGGCAGTATTGAAAACAAATGTAGAATCCAACAGCCAGATTCCACAACAAGGTGTTCTCTCAATAATTGAAGCAGCAGCCATAATAAATGAACTAGCAGAAAGCCTTTCTTCGATTAAACAAACCACTGATACTGATATTAAGGATGTATCAGCTGATTTTGTCGAAACAGCAGTTAGTGTTAAAGATGAGCTAAATCAGTTAACTACTGTTATTGTCAAGGTTAACGAAAATCTCCAAAAACCCGAAATATTGGAACAGCAAAAACCAGAATTAAAGCGAGCTATAAGTGCTGTTAAAGAAAAGCTGAAGAAGTAGTAACAAAAACTTTGCCTAACGCCGAAAAGCTAAAGATTGCAGAGCACAATCTAAAAGCACTTAATGCTAAACTAGATGAAGTTGTAGAAAAACTGTCCGAAGAACATAAGAAACCAACCGAAAGACAAGATGCCAAATTAGTTAAAGAACTCTTAGAACCAATATCAGTTTTAAGAGATGAAATCGCAGTATTGAAAACAAATGTAGAATCCAACAGCCAGATTCCCCAACAAGGTGTTCTCTCAATAATTGAAGCAGCAGCAGTAATAAATGAACTAGCAGAAAGTCTTTCTTCGACTGATCAAACCACTGATACTGATATTAAGGACGTATCAGCTGATTTTGTCGAAACAGCAGTTAGTGTTAAAGATGAGCTAAATCAGTTAACTACTGTTATTGTCAAGGTTAACGAAAATCTCCAAAAACCCGATATATTGGAACAGCAAAAACCAGAATTAAAGCGAGCTATAAGTGCTGTTAAAGAAAAGCTGGAAGAAGTAGTAACAAAAACTTTACCTAACGCCGAAAAGCTAAAGATTGCAGAGCACAATCTAAAAACACTTAATGCTAAACTAGATGAAGTTGTAGAAAAACTGTCCGAAGAACATGAGAAACCAACCGAGAGACAAGATGCCAAATTAGTTAAAGAACTCTTAGAACCAATATCAGTTTTAAGAGATGAAATGGCAGTATTGAAAACAAATGTAGAATCCAACAGCCAGATTCCACAACAAGGTGTTCTCTCAATAATTGAAGCAGCAGCAGTAATAAATGAACTAGCAGAAAGTCTTTCTTCGACTGATCAAACCAATGATACTGATATTAAGGACGTATCAGCTGATTTTGTCGAAACAGCAGTTAGTGTTAGAGATGAGCTAAATCAGTTAACTACTGTTATTGTCAAGGTTAACGAAAATCTCCAAAAACCCGAAATATTGGAACAGCAAAAACCAGAATTAAAGCGAGCTATAAGTGCTGTTAAAGAAAAGCTGGAAGAAGTAGTAACAAAAACTTTACCTAACGCCGAAAAGCTAAAGATTGCAGAGCACAATCTAAAAACACTTAATGCTAAACTAGATGAAGTTGTAGAAAAACTGTCCGAAGAACATGAGAAACCAACCGAGAGACAAGATGCCAAATTAGTTAAAGAACTCTTAGAACCAATATCAGTTTTAAGAGATGAAATGGCAGTATTGAAAACAAATGTAGAATCCAACAGCCAGATTCCACAACAAGGTGTTCTCTCAATAATTGAAGCAGCAGCAGTAATAAATGAACTAGCAGAAAGTCTTTCTTCGACTGATCAAACCAATGATACTGATATTAAGGACGTATCAGCTGATTTTGTCGAAACAGCAGTTAGTGTTAGAGATGAGCTAAATCAGTTAACTACTGTTATTGTCAAGGTTAACGAAAATCTCCAAAAACCCGAAATATTGGAACAGCAAAAACCAGAATTAAAGCGAGCTATAAGTGCTGTTAAAGAAAAGCTGGAAGAAGTAGTAACAAAAACTTTGCCTAACGCCGAAAAGCTAAAGATTGCAGAGCACAATCTAAAAACACTTAATGCTAAACTAGATGAAGTTGTAGAAAAACTGTCCGAAGAACATGAGAAACCAACCGAGAGACAAGATGCCAAATTAGTTAAAGAACTCTTAGAACCAATATCAGTTTTAAGAGATGAAATGGCAGTATTGAAAACAAATGTAGAATCCAACAGCCAGATTCCACAACAAGGTGTTCTCTCAATAATTGAAGCAGCAGCCATAATAAATGAACTAGCAGAAAGCCTTTCTTCGATTAAACAAACCACTGATACTGATATTAAGGATGTATCAGCTGATTTTGTCGAAACAGCAGTTAGTGTTAAAGATGAGCTAAATCAGTTAACTACTGTTATTGTCAAGGTTAACGAAAATCTCCAAAAACCCGAAATATTGGAACAGCAAAAACCAGAATTAAAGCGAGCTATAAGTGCTGTTAAAGAAAAGCTGGAAGAAGTAGTAACAAAAACTTTGCCTAACGCCGAAAAGCTAAAGATTGCAGAGCACAATCTAAAAGCACTTAATGCTAAACTAGATGAAGTTGTAGAAAAACTGTCCGAAGAACATAAGAAACCAACCGAAAGACAAGATGCCAAATTAGTTAAAGAACTCTTAGAACCAATATCAGTTTTAAGAGATGAAATCGCAGTATTGAAAACAAATGTAGAATCCAACAGCCAGATTCCCCAACAAGGTGTTCTCTCAATAATTGAAGCAGCAGCAGTAATAAATGAACTAGCAGAAAGTCTTTCTTCGACTGATCAAACCACTGATACTGATATTAAGGACGTATCAGCTGATTTTGTCGAAACAGCAGTTAGTGTTAAAGATGAGCTAAATCAGTTAACTACTGTTATTGTCAAGGTTAACGAAAATCTCCAAAAACCCGATATATTGGAACAGCAAAAACCAGAATTAAAGCGAGCTATAAGTGCTGTTAAAGAAAAGCTGGAAGAAGTAGTAACAAAAACTTTACCTAACGCCGAAAAGCTAAAGATTGCAGAGCACAATCTAAAAACACTTAATGCTAAACTAGATGAAGTTGTAGAAAAACTGTCCGAAGAACATGAGAAACCAACCGAGAGACAAGATGCCAAATTAGTTAAAGAACTCTTAGAACCAATATCAGTTTTAAGAGATGAAATGGCAGTATTGAAAACAAATGTAGAATCCAACAGCCAGATTCCACAACAAGGTGTTCTCTCAATAATTGAAGCAGCAGCAGTAATAAATGAACTAGCAGAAAGTCTTTCTTCGACTGATCAAACCAATGATACTGATATTAAGGACGTATCAGCTGATTTTGTCGAAACAGCAGTTAGTGTTAGAGATGAGCTAAATCAGTTAACTACTGTTATTGTCAAGGTTAACGAAAATCTCCAAAAACCCGAAATATTGGAACAGCAAAAACCAGAATTAAAGCGAGCTATAAGTGCTGTTAAAGAAAAACTGGAAGAAGTAGTAACAAAAACTTTGCCTAACGCCGAAAAGCTAAAGATTGCAGAGCACAATCTAAAAACACTTAATGCTAAACTAGATGAAGTTGTAGAAAAACTGTCCGAAGAACATGAGAAACCAACCGAGAGACAAGATGCCAAATTAGTTAAAGAACTCTTAGAACCAATATCAGTTTTAAGAGATGAAATGGCAGTATTGAAAACAAATGTAGAATCAAACAGCCAGATTCCACAACAAGGTGTTCTCTCAATAATTGAAGCAGCAGCAGTAATAAATGAACTAGCAGAAAGTCTTTCTTCGACTGATCAAACCAATGATACTGATATTAAGGACGTATCAGCTGATTTTGTCGAAACAGCAGTTAGTGTTAGAGATGAGCTAAATCAGTTAACTACTGTTATTGTCAAGGTTAACGAAAATCTCCAAAAACCCGAAATATTGGAACAGCAAAAACCAGAATTAAAGCGAGCTATAAGTGCTGTTAAAGAAAAGCTGGAAGAAGTAGTAACAAAACTTTACCTAACGCCGAAAAGCTAAAGATTGCAGAGCACAATCTAAAAACACTTAATGCTAAACTAGATGAAGTTGTAGAAAAACTCTCCGAAGAACATGAGAAACCAACCGAGAGACAAGATGCCAAATTAGTTAAAGAACTCTTAGAACCAATATCAGTTTTAAGAGATGAAATGGCAGTATTGAAAACAAATGTAGAATCCAACAGCCAGATTCCACAACAAGGTGTTCTCTCAATAATTGAAGCAGCAGCAGTAATAAATGAACTAGCAGAAAGTCTTTCTTCGAGTGATCAAACCACTGATACTGATATTAAGGACGTATCAGCTGATTTTGTCGAAACAGCAGTTAGTGTTAAAGATGAGCTAAATCAGTTAACTACTGTTATTGTCAAGGTTAACGAAAATCTCCAAAAACCCGAAATATTGGAACAGCAAAAACCAGAATTAAAGCGAGCTATAAGTGCTGTTAAAGAAAAGCTGGAAGAAGTAGTAACAAAAACTTTGCCTAACGCCGAAAAGCTAAAGATTGCAGAGCACAATCTAAAAACACTTAATGCTAAACTAGATGAAGTTGTAGAAAAACTGTCCGAAGAACATGAGAAACCAACCGAGAGACAAGATGCCAAATTAGTTAAAGAATTCTTAGAACCAATATCAGTTTTAAGAGATGAAATGGCAGTATTGAAAACAAATGTAGAATCCAACAGCCAGATTCCACAACAAGGTGTTCTCTCAATAATTGAAGCAGCAGCAGTAATAAATGAACTAGCAGAAAGCCTTTCTTTGACCGAACAAACCACTGATACTGATATTAAGGACGTATCAGCTGATTTTGTCAAAACAGCAGTTAGTGTTAAAGATGAGCTAAATCAGTTAACTACTGTTATTGTCAAGGTTAACGAAAATCTCCAAAAACCCGAAATATTGGAACAGCAAAAACCAGAATTAAAGCGAGCTATAAGTGCTGTTAAAGAAAAACTGGAAGAAGTAGTAACAAAAACTTTGCCTAACGCCGAAAAGCTAAAGATTGCAGAGCACAATCTAAAAGCACTTAATGCTAAACTAGATGAAGTTGTAGAAAAACTGTCCGAAGAACATAAGAAACCAACCGAGAGACAAGATGCCAAATTAGTTAAAGAACTCTTAGAACCAATATCAGTTTTAAGAGATGAAATGGCAGTATTGAAAACAAATGTAGAATCCAACAGCCAGATTCCACAACAAGGTGTTCTCTCAATAATTGAAGCAGCAGCAGTAATAAATGAACTAGCAGAAAGCCTTTCTTCGACTGAACAAACCACTGATACTGATATTAAGGACGTATCAGCTGATTTTGTCGAAACAGCAGTTAGTGTTAAAGATGAGCTAAATCAGTTAACTACTGTTATTGTCAAGGTTAACGAAAATCTCCAAAAACCCGAAATATTGGAACAGCAAAAACCAGAATTAAAGCGAGCTATAAGTGCTGTTAAAGAAAAGCTGGAAGAAGTAGTAACAAAAACTTTGCCTAACGCCGAAAAGCTAAAGATTGCAGAGCACAATCTAAAAGCACTTAATGCTAAACTAGATGAAGTTGTAGAAAAACTGTCCGAAGAACATAAGAAACCAACCGAAAGACAAGATGCCAAATTAGTTAAAGAACTCTTAGAACCAATATCAGTTTTAAGAGATGAAATGGCAGTATTGAAAACAAATGTAGAATCCAACAGCCAGATTCCACAACAAGGTGTTCTCTCAATAATTGAAGCAGCAGCAGTAATAAATGAACTAGCAGAAAGCCTTTCTTCGACTGATCAAACCACTGATACTGATATTAAGGACGTATCAGCTGATTTTGTCGAAACAGCAGTTAGTGTTAAAGATGAGCTAAATCAGTTAACTACTGTTATTGTCAAGATTAACGAAAATCTCCAAAAACCCGAAATATTGGAACAGCAAAAACCAGAATTAAAGCGAGCTATAAGTGCTGTTAAAGAAAAGCTGGAAGAAGTAGTAACAAAAACTTTGCCTAACGCCGAAAAGCTAAAGATTGCAGAGCACAATCTAAAAACACTTAATGCTAAACTAGATGAAGTTGTAGAAAAACTGTCCGAAGAACATGAGAAACCAACCGAGAGACAAGATGCCAAATTAGTTAAAGAACTCTTAGAACCAATATCAGTTTTAAGAGATGAAATGGCAGTATTGAAAACAAATGTAGAATCCAACAGCCAGATTCCACAACAAGGTGTTCTCTCAATAATTGAAGCAGCAGCAGTAATAAATGAACTAGCAGAAAGCCTTTCTTTGACCGAACAAACCACTGATACTGATATTAAGGACGTATCAGCTGATTTTGTCAAAACAGCAGTTAGTGTTAAAGATGAGCTAAATCAGTTAACTACTGTTATTGTCAAGGTTAACGAAAATCTCCAAAAACCCGAAATATTGGAACAGCAAAAACCAGAATTAAAGCGAGCTATAAGTGCTGTTAAAGAAAAGCTGGAAGAAGTAGTAACAAAAACTTTGCCTAACGCCGAAAAGCTAAAGATTGCAGAGCACAATCTAAAAGCACTTAATGCTAAACTAGATGAAGTTGTAGAAAAACTGTCCGAAGAACATAAGAAACCAACCGAAAGACAAGATGCCAAATTAGTTAAAGAACTCTTAGAACCAATATCAGTTTTAAGAGATGAAATGGCAGTATTGAAAACAAATGTAGAATCCAACAGCCAGATTCCACAACAAGGTGTTCTCTCAATAATTGAAGCAGCAGCAGTAATAAATGAACTAGCAGAAAGCCTTTCTTCGACTGAACAAACCACTGATACTGATATTAAGGACGTATCAGCTGATTTTGTCGAAACAGCAGTTAGTGTTAAAGATGAGCTAAATCAGTTAACTACTGTTATTGTCAAGGTTAACGAAAATCTCCAAAAACCCGAAATATTGGAACAGCAAAAACCAGAATTAAAGCGAGCTATAAGTGCTGTTAAAGAAAAGCTGGAAGAAGTAGTAACAAAAACTTTGCCTAACGCCGAAAAGCTAAAGATTGCAGAGCACAATCTAAAAGCACTTAATGCTAAACTAGATGAAGTTGTAGAAAAACTGTCCGAAGAACATAAGAAACCAACCGAAAGACAAGATGCCAAATTAGTTAAAGAACTCTTAGAACCAATATCAGTTTTAAGAGATGAAATGGCAGTATTGAAAACAAATGTAGAATCCAACAGCCAGATTCCACAACAAGGTGTTCTCTCAATAATTGAAGCAGCAGCAGTAATAAATGAACTAGCAGAAAGCCTTTCTTCGACTGATCAAACCACTGATACTGATATTAAGGACGTATCAGCTGATTTTGTCGAAACAGCAGTTAGTGTTAAAGATGAGCTAAATCAGTTAACTACTGTTATTGTCAAGATTAACGAAAATCTCCAAAAACCCGAAATATTGGAACAGCAAAAACCAGAATTAAAGCGAGCTATAAGTGCTGTTAAAGAAAAGCTGGAAGAAGTAGTAACAAAAACTTTGCCTAACGCCGAAAAGCTAAAGATTGCAGAGCACAATCTAAAAACACTTAATGCTAAACTAGATGAAGTTGTAGAAAAACTGTCCGAAGAACATGAGAAACCAACCGAGAGACAAGATGCCAAATTAGTTAAAGAACTCTTAGAACCAATATCAGTTTTAAGAGATGAAATGGCAGTATTGAAAATAAATGTAGAATCCAACAGCCAGATTCCACAACAAGGTGTTCTCTCAATAATTGAAGCAGCAGCAGTAATAAATGAACTAGCAGAAAGTCTTTCTTCGACTGATCAAACCACTGATACTGATATTAAGGACGTATCAGCTGATTTTGTCGAAACAGCAGTTAGTGTTAAAGATGAGCTAAATCAGTTAACTACTGTTATTGTCAACGTTAACGAAAATCTCCAAAAACCCGAAATATTGGAACAGCAAAAACCAGAATTAAAGCGAGCTATAAGTGCTGTTAAAGAAAAACTGGAAGAAGTAGTAACAAAAACTTTGCCTAACGCCGAAAAGCTAAAGATTGCAGAGCACAATTTAAAAGCACTTAATGCTAAACTAGATGAAGTTGTAGAAAAACTGTCCGAAGAACATAAGAAACCAACCGAAAGACAAGATGCCAAATTAGTTAAAGAACTCTTAGAACCAATATCAGTTTTAAGAGATGAAATGGCAGTATTGAAAACAAATGTAGAATCCAACAGCCAGATTCCACAACAAGGTGTTCTCTCAATAATTGAAGCAGCAGCAGTAATAAATGAACTAGCAGAAAGCCTTTCTTCGACTGATCAAACCACTGATACTGATATTAAGGACGTATCAGCTGATTTTGTCGAAACAGCAGTTAGTGTTAAAGATGAGCTAAATCAGTTAACTACTGTTATTGTCAAGGTTAACGAAAATCTCCAAAAACCCGAAATATTGGAACATCAAAAACCAGAATTAAAGCAAGCTATAAGTGCTGTTAAAGAAAAGCTGGAAGAAGTAGTAACAAAAACTTTGCCTAACGCCGAAAAGCTAAAGATTGCAGAGCACAATCTAAAAGCACTTAATGCTAAACTAGATGAAGTTGTAGAAAAACTGTCCGAAGAACATAAGAAACCAACCGAGAGACAAGATGCCAAATTAGTTAAAGAACTCTTAGAACCAATATCAGTTTTAAGAGATGAAATGGCAGTATTGAAAACAAATGTAGAATCCAACAGCCAGATTCCACAACAAGGTGTTCTCTCAATAATTGAAGCAGCAGCAGTAATAAATGAACTAGCAGAAAGCCTTTCTTCGACTGAACAAACCACTGATACTGATATTAAGGACGTATCAGCTGATTTTGTCGAAACAGCAGTTAGTGTTAAAGATGAGCTAAATCAGTTAACTACTGTTATTGTCAAGATTAACGAAAATCTCCAAAAACCCGAAATATTGGAACAGCAAAAACCAGAATTAAAGCGAGCTATAAGTGCTGTTAAAGAAAAGCTGGAAGAAGTAGTAACAAAAACTTTGCCTAACGCCGAAAAGCTAAAGATTGCAGAGCACAATCTAAAAGCACTTAATGCTAAACTAGATGAAGTTGTAGAAAAACTGTCCGAAGAACATGAGAAACCAACCGAGAGACAAGATGCCAAATTAGTTAAAGAACTCTTAGAACCAATATCAGTTTTAAGAGATGAAATGGCAGTATTGAAAACAAATGTAGAATCCAACAGCCAGATTCCACAACAAGGTGTTCTCTCAATAATTGAAGCAGCAGCAGTAATAAATGAACTAGCAGAAAGTCTTTCTTCGACTGATCAAACCACTGATACTGATATTAAGGACGTATCAGCTGATTTTGTCGAAACAGCAGTTAGTGTTAAAGATGAGCTAAATCAGTTAACTACTGTTATTGTCAAGGTTAACGAAAATCTCCAAAAACCCGAAATATTGGAGCAGCAAAAACCAGAATTAAAGCGAGCTATAAGTGCTGTTAAAGAAAAGTTGGGAGAAGTTATTGGAAAAACTTTACCTGGAGCGCCAAAACTTAAAAGTTTAGAACATAGTCTTATGTCAGTAAATGCTAAATTAGATGAACTTGTAGAAAAACTATCTGAAGAACCCCAAAAACTAGTAGAGTGCAAAGAGGTTAAATTAGTTGAAGAATTGTTAGAACCTGTTAAAATTTTAGCCTCGGTAATAACAGCTCTTTCGAAAAAAGTTGACTTAGGTAGTCATATACCTCAACAGAGCATATTATCAATTATAGAAACCGAATATGTTTTAAATGAGCTTGTTGAAAAACTGATCCTAGCGAAACATAATTCTGCTCCTTGCATTTCTGATGTCTTATCTGAATATTTGAAGAAAATGTCAGTTACTAGTACAATTCTGAACAAGTTGGTAGCTATTACTGTTGCAATTAGTGACAATTTGAAAAAACCACAAGCATTAAAAGATCAAAGAGCTGAAATGAAATCTTCTATTTTATCGTTGATAGAAATGCTTGACGAAATAGTATTTACAATTGTGCCTAATGTAATAATTTTACAACCGGCAGAAAAATCGTTCAAACTTTTTAACGCTAAACTCACAGATGTACTTTCTTCGATCGAAATTGACAATATAAAAACTGGGTTCCTTGAACAACTAGACTCTTTAGTAGTTTCTCTTTGTCAAACTTTAAATGTTACAAATACGGAAGTTGAAAATCTTATCCAATCGTCTAAAACTATGTGTCCTTTACTTGCATCTCCTATTTCAGATTTGAATGCTATTACTGATACTGCTAGTATTTTACAAACAAAATTTAGTAGTACTTTGGCATTTTCTTTGGCTTGTAAAGAAGGAGTAGAAGAGATAAAGCAGTTAATGGATATGTTTTCGGAATTTAACGAGTTTACTGATTCCATTAAAGATCTTTCCCCTTTGTCTGATTTGGATACTATTTCTTTCAAAGCAAATGTCCTAGCAAATCGTCTGGAACAGATAACAAATAATTTACAAATATACTTGACAGAGGATATTATCTCTCCATTAGATTTTGTAAAGCTTAAAATAGAAAATCTTGCAGAAAACCTCGTAGAGGTAAAGAAGAGCTTCTTGAAAATAGATTTATTGAAAGTACCCCTTTGTAGATTGCAGGAATTTTTCAAGGATCTTAGACTTAATAAACAAATACCCGATAAAGGTTTTCGAAAATTCTCCAACATCCACGAATCTCTTTTTAAAGTGATCGAACTGATCAACAGCAGCAACTTAGATATGGCGGCTGTATTAACTTTGGAAAAACTAGTAAAGCATTTGGAAAGTATCTCAAAAACGATCAATATGGGAATTATTGATGGCAATAAAGTTAAATTTACCTGTGATAACGAGTCCGAAATTTTGAAAAAGCTGAATGATGCTTTTAATGCTCTTGAAGACGAATTTAATACATTATCAGATGCTAGTAATTTCTGTACTGAAGCAAAAGTAATTCTTTCCCATATCCAAACTTACCGAGATTGGATAACAGAAAAAGCCACCAATAGGCAAGATACCGCAACAATAAAAAATTTAAAATTGCCCACAAATCAGCTTTTGGAAGAGCTCAATCTTATTAATAAGAAAATATCCAAGAGTGCAAAGTTCATCACGCCACTTAAAACTTTAAAGGAAAATGTTAATAACTTTAATGAAACCTTAACAAAAATTGAAAATTCTACAATTCTTGAAGTTCCTAATATAGAAAGAATGCTAATCCATGACTTAGAAAGCCTCGTTCCTCATTTAGAAGACGTTCTCATTGAATTCGTTAAAATAAACTCAATACAAGACAAACAAGAAGCTACTAAATACGACAGCATAAGAAAGGCTTTATCAAAACTAAGAAATCACATCGAAAATATTGATGGTTCAACGTTTGTCGAATCCATTACCGAAAATATGTTACTTGCAGCTTTAAAGAATATCTCTAACTGCTTACAAGAGTTTGAAGATAAAATCAAACATGAAATAGCACTAGAACAAAAACATAAACTGGCTACATATCTGCAACCCCTTTTAGCAGTCAAGAATGAACTAGAGATCTTAAAATCTGATGTAAAATTGCTACCTAAACCAACTGATGTAGTTGTTTCATTTTTAGCGTTAGAAGAACCAATAAAGGCATCTATTGATATCATTGAAAAACTTGATATGTCAGTAGAAGTTAACGCAAACTTAGAAACGTTTAATTCTAATCTAAATCCTTCGTTCATTAAACTTTCTAAAATAATTAATAATGTTAATAATATAATGACAGATGTGGATATTTTTGAACTGGAGTTACCAATGATTGTAGAAGACATTAAAGGAATCCAAGAAACTATAAACACCGATGAATCGATGACTTTAACAAAACGAGTTAATGTTACGGAGAGTGTGGAAAGTATTAATTCGGCAATAAAAATTATATTAGATGAAGCTAATAAAGTCAGAAAAGATTACAAAGTTGTCAAAAATCTTCTAAGCGCATTGTCAAATTTGGATGCAACCATAAAAGAAGTCGATGTAAAAGGAAAAGAAAGCCCCATTACTATTCTTTTTGAGCTACAGGAGCCAATTTCCCAGTTCAAAAACAATTTACTTTTGGCACAAGATATTGGTTACAATACGAAAGATTTTTCCAAAGATTATGCAGATACATTGAATAATCTATCCGATAAACTTACAGCGTTGTGTCTATATATAGATGATACTAGTAAAACTATGGAGAATCAAAAAGATTTCTTAAAAGACACTGAATTATCCATGTCTGATTTGGAAAATGCCACTAAAGAATGCTGTTCGATGTTAGTTCTACACGAAAAAATGGAGGTTATCTCTCAATCTACAACTCTATTTGCTGAAAGTCTAAAAATAATTAAAAATAAGATAGCAAAACAGATCTTTGACTTAAGAAATGACGTACAATTTTGTAAGGAACTTAAAAACGCTGTATCGACGTTCACTGGTACATTACATAATACAGAGTTTACACTCTTGAAACCTTTGATTAACATTTTAAACATTGCACATGAAACCATATGTGATCAGCAAAACAGTATAAATGCTACAGAAAATGATCTACCAGACAATCTACTAACTCTCATCAATCTTTCTGCAACGATAAACAACTGTAATTCTTCTTTAGATCGGCCAAAAACAGTGCTGTACAATTTGGAACAGCTGAAAACCAGTATCACTAACACGAAAATTGCTACCAATGATTATAAATCTTTCGAACCTTTACATTTGGTTTTGAATATTCTTTATGAAGAAGTTTGTAGTATAATTCATGAACTGGAGCAGTTGGAGATAATTGAAATCACCGATCAAGAAATCGAATATAAAAATGAAGATGAAAAAGAAGAGAAGAAGAAAATCAAGAAAAAACAAAAGAAATCACAGAATGAAAATGAAGAAATCATTCAAGAAAAAGGACAGGAAGAAGAAATCGATCAGTTAGAAACACAGGCAGAAGAACTCAAAAGCTCAAAAGAAATAGAGAAAATAGATAAGTATGAAAAACAGCCAAGCACAGAACAAATCGAGGGAGAAGAAACTGTTGAGAAAGCTGAACAAAATGTAGAACTAAACGAGAAAAGAAAGAACAAAGAAGATGAAGACAAATTAAATCCAGACGAAGACTTAACACAAAAAAAGGAACAAGCGGAAAATAAACCAAAAGAAATTGAAAATAAAGAAAAGGAAATAACAGAAAAAGAGAAAGAAAAATCACAAGAAAATGAGAAAGAAGTGGAAAAATTAATAGAAAAAGATAAGTTGCAAAGAGTTAATAAAAAACCAGAAGAGGATAAAAACATGGATAATGAAAAGTTGGTAAAAGAAAAAGCAGATCTTGATAAAAAAGAAGAGGAATCAACATTAGATAAAGAACAACTCAAAAAAGAAACAAAAGAAGAACAGAAAAAAATGCAAGAAGAAGAGATCGCAAGAAAAGAAGAAGACTTGCAAGAGGAGAAGAAACTGGAGGAACAACGATTGAAACAAGAGAAAGAAGAGCTTAATAAAAAGAAAAAAGAAAAGAAACTTGAGGAGGAAAAACTAAAGAAGGAAAAAGAAGAATTGGATAGAAAAAAGAAAGAACAGGAAGAAAAGGAACTGGAAGAAAAGATAATAAAAGAAAGTGAAATTGCAAGAAAAGAGGAAGAATTGCAAAGACTTAAAAAAGAGGAGGAGGATAAGAAACTAGTGGAGGAAAAATTGAAAAAAGAGACAGAAGAGCTCAATAAAAAGAAGAAAGAAAAGAAACTTGAGGAAGAAAAACTAAAGAAGGAAAAAGAAGAATTGGATAGAAAAAAGAAAGAACAGGAAGAAAAGGAACTGGAAGAGAAGAAAATAAAAGAAAATGAAATTGCAAGAAAAGGGGAAGAGCAGCAAAGACTTAAAAAAGAGGAGGAGGATAAGAAACTAGAGGAGGAAAAATTCAAAAAGGAGAAAGAAGAGCTCAATAAAAAGAAGAAAGAAAAGAAACTTGAGGAAGAAAAAATAAAGAAGGAAAAAGAAGAATTGGATAGAAAACAGAAAGAACAGGAAGAAAAGGAAATGGAAGAGAAGAAAATAAAAGAAAATGAAATTGCAAGAAAAGAGGAAGAGCAGCAAAGACTTAAAAAAGAGGAGGAGGATAAGAAACTAGAGGAGGAAAAATTGAAAAAAGAGACAGAAGAGCCCAATAAAAAGAAGAAAGAAAAGAAACTTGAGGAAGAAAAACTAAAGAAGGAAAAAGAAGAATTAGATGGAAAAAAGAAAGAGCAGGAAGAAAAGGAACTGGAAGAGAAGAAAATAAAAGAAAATGAAATTGCAAGAAAAGAGGAAGAGCAGCAAAGACTTAAAAAAGAGGAGGAGGATAAGAAATTAGAGGAGGAAAAATTGAAAAAGGAGACAGAAGAGCTCAATAAAAAGAAGAAAGAAAAGAAACTTGAGGAAGAAAAACTAAAGAAGGAAAAAGAAGAATTGGATAGAAAAAATAAAGAACAGGAAGAAAAGGAAATGGAAGAGAAGAAAATAAAAGAAAATGAAATTGCAAGAAAAGAGGAAGAGCAGAAAAGACTTAAAAAAGAGGAGGAGGATAAGAAACTAGAGGAGGAAAGGTTAAAAAAAGAGAAAGACGAGCTTAATAAAAAGAAGAAAGAAAAGAAACTTGAGGAAGAAAAACTAAAGAAGGAAAAAGAAGAATTGGATAGAAAAAAGAAAGAGCAGGAAGAAAAGGAACTGGAAGAGAAGAAAATAAAAGAAAATGAAATTGCAAGAAAAGAGGAAGAGCAGCAAAGACTTGAAAAAGAGGAGGAGGATAAGAAACTAGAGGAGGAAAAATTGAAAAAAGAGACAGAAGAGCTCAATAAAAAGAAGAAAGAAAAAAAACTAGAGGAAGAAAAACTAAAGAAGGAAAAAGAAGAATTGGACAGAAAAAATAAAGAACAAGAAGAAAAGGAACTAGAAGAAAAGAAAATGAAAGAAAAAGAAATTGCACTAAAAGAGGAAGAGCTGCAAAGTCTTAAAAAAGAAGAGGAGCATAAGAAACTAGAAGAGGAAAAATTGAAAAAAGAGACAGAAGAGCTTAATAAAAAGAAGAAAGAAAGGAAACTTGAGGAAGAAAAACTAAAGAAGGAAAAAGAAGAATTGGATAGAAAAAAGAAAGAACAGGAAGAAAAAGAAATGGAAGAGAAGAAAATAAAAGAAAAGGAAATTGCAAGAAAAGAGGAAGGGCAGCAAAGACTTAAAAAAGAGGAGGAGGATAAGAAACTAGAGGAGGAAAAATTGAAAAAGACAACAGAAGAGCTCAATAAAAAGAAGAAAGAAAAGAAACTTGAGGAAGAAAAACTAAAGAAGGAAAAAGAAGAATTGGATAGAAAAAAGAAAGAGCAGGAAGAAAAGGAACTGGAAGAGAAGAAAATAAAAGAAAATGAAATTGCAAGAAAAGAGGAAGAGCAGCAAAGACTTAAAAAAGAGGAGGAGGAGAAGAAAGAAGAGGAGGAAAAATCGAAAAAAGAGACAGAAGTGCTCAATAAAAAGAAAAAAGAACAGAAACTTGAGGAGAAAAAACTTAAGAAGGAAAAAGAAGAATTAGATAGAAAAAATAAAGAACAAGAAGAAAAAGAAATAGAAGAAAAGAAAATTAAAGAAAAAGAAATTGCACTAAAAGAGGAAGAGCTGCAAAGACTTAAAAAAGAAGAGGAGCATAAGAAACTAGAAGAGGAAAAATTGAAAACAGAGACAGAAGAGCTTAATAAAAAGAAGAAAGAAAGGACACTTGAGGAAGAAAAACTAAAGAAGGAAAAAGAAGAATTGGATAGAAAAAAGAAAGAACAGGAAGAAAAAGAAATGGAAGAGAAGAAATTAAAAGAAAAGGAAATTGCAAGAAAAGAGGAAGAGCAGCAAAGACTTAAAAAAGAGGAGGAGGATAAGAAACTAGAGGAGGAAAGGTTAAAAAAAGAGAAAGAAGAGCTTAATAAAAAGAAAAAAGAAAAGATACTTGAGGAGGAAAAACTAAATAATGAAAAAGAAGTGGATAGAAAAAAGAAAGAACAAGAAGAAAAGGAACTGGAAAATAAGAAAAATGAGGAAAAAGAAAAGGTAAGAAAAGAGGAAGAACTGCAAAGGCTTAAAAAAGAGGAAGATGATAAGAAAAAAGAGGAGGCAAGATTAAAACAAGAGAAAGAGGAGTTAAATAAAAAGGAGAAAGAAAAGAAATTTGCGGAGGAAAAATTGAAGAAAGAGAAAGAAGAATTGGATAGAAAGAAGAAAGAACAAGAAGAGAAGGAACTCAAAGAGATAAAAATGAAGGAAAAAGATATGGCAAGAAAAGAGGAAGAGTTGCAGAGGCTTAAAAAAGAGGAGGATAGTAAGAAACTAGAGGAGGAGAAATTGGCAAAAGAAAAAGAACAGCTTAATAAAAAGAAAAAGGAACAGAAACTTGAGGAGGAAAAACTAAAGAAGGAAAAAGGAGAATTGGATAGAAAAAAGACAGAACAAGAAAAAAAGGAACTAGAAGAGAAGACAATAAAAGAAAGAGAGCTGGCAAGAAAAGGGGAAGAGTTTCAAAGGCTTAAAAAAGACGAGGATAATAAGAAACTAGAGGAGGAAAGATTAAAACAAGATATGAAAAAGACAGAAAAAGAGACGGCTGAGATTACGGACGAGAGACTAGAAAAAGAAAAAGCAGAAATTATTAAAATGGAACAAGGAAAGAAGTCAAAAGAAGAAAAATTAAAGAAGGAAAATGTACCTAAAAAGAACAAATTGCAACAAAAACTGCCGAAGGAGAAAGAAGAAAAAGAGATTAAAAAAGATCTAGAGATGCCAAAACTCAAAAATGAGGAAGAGAAGTTGACAGTAAATAAAAATCTGGAAAATGAGGAACAAAAATCTAGAAAAGAGCATCAATCATTAGAAATTGCAAAGACGGCACAAAGATCATACGTAGATGAACGATTAGAAAATGAAACATTAGCGAAAATGAAAAAAGAAGAAAGGATAAAATTGAAAACAAAGGAAACTTACGAATCAAACTACGTTATTAACAAAGTAGAATCGCAGACTAGTAATGAAGATATAAAAACAAACGATTATGCTTCTGAAACATTCAAGAGTGAGAGTCAAAGTAGAAGAGACAATAAAGTGACTGATACAACTCGAAATATTGTTGACAATTTAGAAAGTTACAAGCCTTCTACATATCATGGAAATGTCTACGCAGGTAGAAAGCCTTTCTTTACTACAGGGCTAAAAAATACGTCAGCAACTCCTGGTTCTTCAGTTCAGTTAATGTGTAATTTGGTCGAGAGTGAAAACCTTAACATTATGTGGTTCAAAAATAATCAGATCATAGAACAAACGGCGAATCTCAAAATGAAATCATCTGGTAATACTGCTACTTTACAGCTAGAACATGTTAGCTTGGATGATACTGGTGAATACTCATGTATTGCTTCCAACGATCACGGTGAGAGTACAACATTTGCTTATTTGGATGTTTCTGATGGAGGAAATACTCAAACTACAGCACCTGCCTTCACGAGAAATATTGTTGATAACTACAGAGTTTCAAGCGATGAAATAAATTTGGAATGTAAAATCAAAAGCCTAATAAAACCAAATATTCGTTGGTATAAAGACGGACAAGAGATATACACTGGTTCGAGGTACGCTCAAAGTTATTTATCTGATGGACTTTGTAGGTTATCTATTACTAGTCCAGACAGTGGCGATAGTGGTCGTTATTCTTGTAGACTTGAGAACAGTTTATGGAGTGAACAGTTATCTTATGATCTCAAATTTGATGGAAAGAAAGAGTATATGCGACACAAATCGAGAGAAAGACAAACTCGCGATAGCAGTCTTGGTAGGACTGCTAGATCTTACTATTCTGGTATCATGACGGACACATTCGTACCTCGCGGAGGTACTATGGCTCTACAGGTCGAAGTAAAAGGCAGTCCCTTGAATGTTTCATGGTACAAAGAAAGTTCAAGATTAACAAATACCTCTTCTAGACATAAAGTCTTGACTGAGCGTAACGTTCATACGCTGCTAATACCTGATGTAAACGAGTACGAAGCGGGAAAGTATACTTTTAGAGCGCTATATCCAGAAGGTCCAGTAGATACTTCGGCGTACGTCCAAGTCGTACAAAGGTCTTATCCACACGGAAAACCTGCCATGTTCCTTTCCCGACCAGACAGCATTTTGACTCTTCGAGAAGGAGACGACATTGTGGTCTCGTTTAGAATCACTGGCGACCCAAAACCTACAGGTAACTACGATTTGTCAATATTAATATAGGTATAACAAATAAGTATGTCATTGAAAAGTCAATTATAACATAGTCGTTTATTTCTTCTCAATGTATCCTTCCTGGGAACTATAACAGAACTAGCGCCACAAGAACACGTCACGGGTAACGTCACGAAATAGCGGTTCTTAATATCGATTCACTAAGCTCGATTAATTCGTTTCTAGTCATCATATATTTATTCCAAATAGGTTTACATTAAAAACTACATGAAAAATAACTAACAAAATACCGAAATTAAATGACAAGTGAAAAATAAAAGAAAATATGTGAATAAAAGATTCGATTTGTAAGGATTGTCAAAATTTAAAAATAATAAATGTCATCCAATTAACAACACTATTACACCGTCTGTTTAAATTTTTATACCACTTCTTTTTTTAAAAAATTTCATATAAATAATTATTATTTTTAAACATATACAATACGACTGTATTGTGTTGTTTTTTGTCTGTCCTACTGTTTAAGTCTCACATGATTATGATCTCCGAGCTCTGCCGACTTTAGTAATTTCTAAGAGTAGTTTCTCAAAAAAAATCATCTTTAACATTGACTAATGCATCAGCATTCACTGCATACAGTCCTATCATTGTTAATTTGTGTCCTTTACCTGTTAGGTTCATATTTATCAGACTACATTATAATGCGCTCCCTAACTTTCGCGTGATTGGTTGGTGGGTGAGTCCCAATTTAAAAATTGGCGGGTTTCATGTTTATTAAAATGACAATAAAATTGAGGTATTGTGGCACAGTATATCGCTAAACAATTTATTAGCAATATATTGTGGTATTGGTACAAAGCGGATGATATTCACATTTTAGGATTAAGCTGACTAGTACAGTTTTATTAGAAATTAAAATTTATTTTTCTTTTGACATTATGTAGGTAAAATTAAATTCTGACATTGTGTTTATTTAATTTTGATATGCTAGTGATGCTTTTTTTATTAGATATATAGATATTGTTTTAATTTTTTTGTTTAGGTAATTTTTTATTAAGATTTAGAGGTTCCTCTTATTATTTTGATTTCTAGAAAACATTCGTTACCATTATTATTCTCATTAGCTTTCTCTATGTGGAATCGGCTTCTCTAAGTATTTTCCTCTAAACTTTTCGGTTCTCTTTCAGGGACTAAGTACCTGTCCGCTTTTTGTATGAGATTATGGTTTTTCAGAAACATGTAATTTCTGTTCATCCCCTTTTTTACTGCCCTACATTCAGTACCATACATCATAGCTGTTCTAAAGGCAGTCCTATACAATTTAGGAGAGCTTTAGAGGGGTTTTACTTCGCCATTGCACCAATAACGGCCCCCCCTCCTTTGATTTCCCAGATTTTTAATAAAGAATAAAGATATTTTAGATATAGCTATTTAGTGTTTTATTTGGTTTGTAATCGTTATTTCCAGTAAACCTCTGCTTCATTTTATTGACAATGACAATTTTTCATAGCACTCAAATCACAATATATCTTTTTATTATCCTACATTTGTGGTAAAATCTAACAGAATTCAGTGTAAGGTTCTAAAAAATGAAAATGGATAAATGTCAATTTGGATTTAGGCAAGGCAGGTCTACAACAAGCAATTTTTATTAAAAGAGCTAATTTAACAATTTAGAGTGAATTTACATTGTATTATTAAACTTGAGAAAGCACATGATGAAGATATCAGAAACCTACTGTGGCAGAGATTAAGTAGGAAAGGAGTGCCGGCTGAATATGTGAGTGGAGTATGAGCAAGTAACAACTGTAATAGTGTTAAAACAACTATTATAGTGTTAGAATGATTACAGGTGAAACTGGCAAATTTTGTGTAAAAATCAGGGTTTCGCCCATATTTATTCTCATTTGTGCTGGATTAGATAACAACTGAACCTCCTGGGTATTAGTAGAAAAGAGTAGCGGAGACAGGTTCTTGAAGAAAAATGATTAAAATTAAGTTGGATACAAACAAAATATTTAGAATATTCTTTTAAAGATGAAATTTCAAGACCAGATAGAGTAGTTGGCTTGGATAGACAAGAACTCATAAAAGATGATAATGTTCGGCTTTTAGGATTGGTATTATCGTTTTATCTCTAATATTTCAATTAAAGGTAAAGGAAAGAGGCAAATTGAGTGATGTATGATAAAAAAGGTACCAAGAAAACTAAACTAAAGGTAAATTGTATAGGACTGCCTTTAGACCAGCTATGATGTATGGTACTGAATGTAGGGCAGTAAAAAAGGGGATGAACAGAAATTACATATTTCTGAAAAACCATAATCTCATACAAAAAGCGGAGAGGTACTTAGTCCCTGGAAGAGAACAGAAAAGTTTAGAGGAAAATATTTAGAGAAGCCGATTCCACATAGAGAAAGCTAATGAGAATAATAATGGTAATGAATGTTCTAGAAATAAAAATAATAAGAGGAACCTCTATCTTAATAATCTTAATAAAAGAATCTTAATAAAAATTACCTAAACAAAAAAATTAAAACAATATCTATATATCTAATAAAAAAAGCATCACTAGCATATCAAAATTAAATAAACACAATGTTTGAATTTAATTTTACCTACATAATGTCAAAAGAAAAATAAATTTTAATTTCTAATGAAACTGTACTAGTCAGCTTAATCCTAAAATGTGAATATCATCCGCTTTGTACAAATACCACAATATATTGCTAATAAATTGTTTAGCGATATACTGTGCCACAATACCTCAATTTTATTGTCATTTTAATAAACATGAAACCCGCCAATTTTTAAATTGGGACCCACCCACCAACCAATCACGCGAAAGTTAGGGAGCGCATTATAATGTAGTCTATATTTATCAGTCTCCCACTGATGGCCTCCCACATAGTTATAAATGTCCGAAGTTTCTTTATTCGTTTGATAAATCCTTGTACATGCTAAATTCCAAAATTCATTATCCATTTTCACAGAGTGCGTCGTCGTTTGTTTATCAATCCGTTCCGAGGCGTTTTGTTGAGTTTTTTAACATTGGAATTTTTTGTAGGGTAGGGGAGTACTAGGGTAGGGGAGTACACAAGTACTAAAAAGTTATCCTGATGCCTCAACCCTCGTCTTGGGGAAACAGGGTTTAATTTTGGGGCATGTCTTCTCCTAGACAGTTTGCTTCCACAGCAGCTCAAAAACAGCAAACGCCCTGTTTGTTGGTCCGCTGCCTACCCGCTAGCCGAAGCTGGTGAGGACATTCCCCTATCCGCTACCTGGGGACTCGCTCTCTAGTGCTTATAGACTCTCACGACAGTAGGTTGTGCTTATATTCGATAATTATTAAGAATCTTTCGCATAAAAGACATTCCTCAAATCTCACTTAACATAACTTAACCTAAAAAATGTCGGTAAACAAGTCGAATCTTATTTTTATTAATATCAGTTTTTACTTCTATTTCAAATGTATTTCATTTGATAGGAATTTTTCGTCGCCTACGATATCCATCACATAATTTTCACATTAAATAAACATTGTGTTATTTACATGTTCTCGTTATCAATAATTATTACTGTCATTCGCGTATATAAAATCATAGACATATAATACAAATAGACTGAGCGCTGCTCTCCCAGTGTGACATCTCCTCTTCTGCATCTCTTTCTATTTTGCCTGATTTAGCGATCACGTGACCTAAATATGCAGTCCACTTGCAAACACCGCTATGTGTATAAACAATTAATTTGAGTGCAATAAAAAATACATTTAACTCTTAATCCAAATAGAAAATAAACATTTTACTTTGTGCTAATTTTGAAGAGATAATATAGAATCGGTACGAGTCAGATAAAAAAACACGTGTCAATAATAGTTTTTTTAATTAAATTTCAAAATTGAACATAGACCGTTTTGCATGAATAATTTTAACTTAAGTAGTTTTGCAGGAGCATTTAATCAACTTAGACAGTTATGAAACAACGAATTGCTAATAAATATAATAAACATACCATGTGCTATTGTACACAAAGAGAATATGAAATGTTTTTAATCTTAACATTAAACTCTTAAATCTACATCGTCTTGCATTACAGTATCTTCATTGTCAGTTTCTTCGGGAGCACTGTCACTCAACTCCAACATTCATGATGATAGGTTCCATATTTTCGAAGGATTTGTCCCTTTTACAAACATTTCCGTAACTCAACAGCTCAGATGCATAGTGTGGCTCTCATTTAATTACAAATCTGCTATTTTTATCCTTTCTTAAAAAGAATCTATTAGAGGCCTTGAATTGTAAATGCCATAAACCAGGTACCTTCACTACATCTTTAACGGTAGTTTTAGTTAAAACGGGAACTTGCACATTTTTTTTATTATATAATAACGTTCAGTTTCATTTAAAAATAAGATTTCCAAAATTTCACGCCTCAAAAACTCATAATGACTTAGCGATACAAATTTAAAATCTTCCGTCTATAAAAATCATTTCAAACGATCGAAAAAGCGCGCGAACCCTTGTGACGTCACTTGGTGGTATTGTCTGTATGTCAGGTCTCCTGTCTTGTATAAAAGTATAAACTATTTTGTTTATATTGGTGTTTGATACAGTTTTTGAATAGAGAGTGTTGAATTGTGTGTGTTTTTACTATGGAAAGTAAAAGTAAATACTACAAGTGTTGATTAGTACCATTGTGTAAAAGTACAACCATTAAAACCTCCAACAAAATATTTATTAGATTACCAGTATAGTACAGATCATGTTATTTCTTTTTACTTGGACCCATCCTACAGCTGCATCTCCATATGATTCTATGCCAGATCTAAATGCAAACGATGAATAAGATAATTTGATTAAAGTTCAGTACAATAGCATAAACATAATATAATATTGCCCTACTTAATATAAAGTACTAAGTTTTATTATTAAATACTTATTATGAGAATAATAATCACAATAAAATTAATGTAATAGGAGTATATGTACTTACTTATCTGCTTTAATTCCCCGAACT